AAGCTTAATAAGCTGTTGTTAGAATTTATTTAATATTACTTTCTACTCGAGGATCTTTTTCTACATAGCTGACAGCTGGTAATTGTGCAGGGGCGGATCTAGCAAAGTTTAGCCAGGGGGGCCGATAGGTCATTAACAGGGAAAAGGGGCACAAAGACATACTTTTCTTTCTTATTCTCATTTAAAATGCCTAGCTTTTAATAAATAATTATCTGAATCTTACACCCAAAGTTTTAATCTGATGTAAAATGTATAGAAGTTCATTACTGTCTGCTGTTAAGTCTAATATACCCTAGTAAGCTATATTACTTTTTCCTCTGGGAAGATACCATCTGTGCAGTCTGCAGTTCTGTTGAAGAAAGATGTTGAATCTATTTAATTATTCTTGAAAAATAATTGATTTCTGTGCATTTTTTTTCACACTGCATCAAATTAAGGTCGATTACGTCGATTAAGCATCATGAGGTGGAGGGTGGGGGTGGTTCCCTATTTTATTTTATTTTTTGCTGGGAGTTGGAACCCTATTAGTTAGGTTGCTTAATATTTCTGCTAAGTACTCTTTAAAATACCAGAATAGGGAGGATGGTGTAGGTTTAAGTTTATTAGATTGATCAGTATTGCTGAACTATGAAATATTTTGGGTGCAGTGCATTTTTTACACACAGGTATAACAGAATAGCTTTAGTGTTGTCTATTTAAACTTGAGTATGAATTTATACAAAATGCAGTAAGATATTAAAAAAACTGTTTTATTGATTAAAAAACACTGTGTCAGATTCATATCGGTATCGGCAGATATCCAAATTTATGATATCGTATCGGACATAAAAAAGTGGTATCGTGCCATCTCTAATTTAAACATTACCACACTATTGAATTATTTTATTGTATTTCTACAGTAATCACTTGTTTTGATCAATCTGTACAAGAGCACTTCTAATTCAGTATTCTAAAAACTACTTTAAGCTTTAATCACTTTTTCCCTTTCACACTAAGTGACTTGGACAAGATGATAAACAGACTCACATGCTCAAGATGCTGTACAATCTTCATGAGCTCTCTTGTATTTGTAAGTGTTAGTAAGGTTAATACATTTTCTGTATGTGTGTGTGATTTTGTATATGTTTCTTTTCACAATTTTCCCACTTAAGCAGTCAGTTTTCTCTTTCCCAGGTTTGCTAACCCAAATTTTTTTGAATTCATCCAATATGCACAGATTTGCTTTTTCTTTGAACAGGTTTGTGCCTACCTTTAAATCTTTAAATCTCATGTTCGCCTCATTTCAGATCCAACCTTCGGCCACGTTTGTTCTCTCTTTTGCAAAGGGAACCAGGCAGAAACACCAAATATTAAAACCCAATTCTTTTATCCCCTTGATAGAACAGAGAAAACCGACTCATAGTGGTCAAAACATTTATATTTCTTTTTATTCAATCATCTTCCGGAAGAGAGAGCCCCAAAAGCGAGTTGCAGAAACTCTAACATTAGAATTTAAAAACATCTCACATATAGGTGTTATTTTGGTGCTTTACACCAAGGTTATTATCGTTAACGAAAACTAACGAAATAACGAAAACTAGAAGTAAAAAAACATTTTCGTTAACAGAAATAAAAATAAAAACGAGACTTTGCGAAAAAAGGAAAACTAACTAAAACTGTAATGAGTGCTCACAAAACTAACTAAAATTAACTGAATTTATAGCAAAAATGTGTTTAGTTTTCGTTGATGTGTGTGTGTCATACAATAGTCAAGGGTGAAAATTAAGTTTAGTTTCCAGGTTTTTTTCTTGCTGTGTCTCATTATGCCAGCAGGTGGCAGTACATTAGTCAAGTCGTCTGTGTTGCTGCTCTGTCCACGTGCAGATTCATGTCAGGAAAAGTCGGGAGAAAGCGCCAGAGTCCAATTTGGGATTACTTTGAATATGACTGTGTTTTGGATAAAGTATAATTGTAGTGGAAAGAGACAAATTATGAGGGACATTTCTAAAGGGAAAAAAATCCCACAAACCTTAAAGTGCTCTTGAAAAGCTCACACAAGAAGGCTAACCTAGCTTACCTTGAGAAGGTAAGGGAGCACACTCAACCCTCATCCCCAGAAAACAGAAGCTAACCCCAGGCAAGGCAGCGTGATGCATCCCGAGACAACAGGACGGGGATATCTACACAACTGTGTGAGTCAATTGCCTTCAAAAAGTTTATCAATTCAGTTGAACCAAAATTACGAACACCAGATGCTGCAAAAGTTAATAGTCTCATTGGGGCCAAGATATACAATTTAAATAGTTGCCTGGTATCAATGGTTGTTCATCTGCCCTAATTCATTTATTTATTTATTTATTTATTTATTTAAAGAACCTATAGGTGGGAATGTGAGTTGTCTGTCTCTGCGTGTTAGCCCTGCGACAGACAGCTGACCTGTCCAGGGTGCAGGATATGGTAGCTGGAATAGCAACATACCCAAGGATAAGCAGAAGAGCATGACTGATATGATGAAACTGGGATTTTGTTACACTTAATTATTGCAAACACAACTAAAACTATAACTAAAACTAATCAAAACTAAACTGAAACTAAGGTTTTTCAAAGAAAATACAAACTAAACTAGCAAACAATTGGTAAAAACTAATTAAAACTGATATAAAATCTGAAGTCAAAACTAAATAAAAATAAAAAACTAATGAAAATTGCAAAACTATTAAAACCCTGCTTTACACGTCACACAGTTTTGATACAAAGACTCCTTATATGGTACAAGTTCCTCTTTTCTGTCTGCCTTCCTGTATTTATTAATGTACTTGTATAGCTCTACACTAACTTCCTGTTTTTCAGTCTGGCTGAGCACTTAGTTTATGAGTCAAAAGTGGCCTTGCTTTACAAACCTTCATTATTAAAGTACATAAAACAATATAATAAGAAAATAAGCACTAAGGATAAATTAATTACATGACATCTGTAATATTTATTTTAATACAATCCACATCTTAACACTTTTTTTCATATGATTTTTATATTGTGTGATAACTACATAAAAAGTTCTGTCTGTCTAACATTTTGACAAATTGCCTGACAGTGTGCAGAGATGAGGCTAAATTTTATATTTTACTAAGTATCTTTATCGTAACATATCAAGATTTTATTCAGTTATACTATGAACATTAACATTCAGATATTGAAAAAAATATAACAAAACAAAAGGTACTACTCTGTTGTAAGTGTTATTGTTAGTAATTCACCAATATTAGCATGCTAACGTGCTATAATAAAGCAATAAACATCACTAGCATTACAACTTATTTCCCTTTTTTTAAATTACCTCTATGAGGTAGTTTTCTTCTAACTTCTCTAAGTAGTTTCCAGGCTTCTTGAAGCACATTCCAAGCTCTTCTTTGGGTGTTGGGTGCCTTTTGTTCTGTTCTCTGTCCAGATGATTCCACACTGCTTCAATAAGTTTGAGCTCCAGGCTCTGGAGAAGCCAGTCCATGACTGATAGTATTCCACTGTGTGTTTTCCCATACAGCTACATGTTTACTGAATTGGCATTGTGTTTGGGGCAATTGTCATGCCAAAGGAAAAGCCATGACCAATAAGATTGTATTGTTTGTATATGTTTGTAGTTCCATCCAATTTCGCCAAAATCCCCAACATCACTGGCTTGAAATGCAGCAGTCACTGTTGTACGCCTCATAAGTTCATGACCGTTTGACTCAAAATTCTGAAATCTGATTTCACTCCTTGATAAGAGGCGTAACAATTGTAATTTGGCAACCTCAGCCTTTGCTCCATGTTAACCTTCCTTGACAGCTAACCTTCTGAGACCATTTCTAATGAGGCTTCTCATTTCAGGTATTTGGTAGATTTCTTTAATTTCTTAATTTCAGATACTATTCATCTATTGCAGGTAGTTTTTAAGCAACACCACTTTTTCTTTTGTCCTCCACAGTTCCACATCATGCAGAGATCCACTAGATTTTCAGGTGATGGCTCTTTGGAGATCATCCTGTTGGTGCAGAAATAATATTTCTATGCCTATCAAACTGTTTTATTGTTGGCATTTTTCATAGATTCAATTAAAGAAATGGGGAGGGTTAACTCGGCGCAGACAAGGATTTACACTCACATTAACACCTACAGGTCGTTTAGAATCAACAATTAACTTTTCCCTGCTGGGGGGATTTTCCCATGACATTTTTATCAGACACTTCTGTGGTTAACCACAATAAGCCAGTAATTGGTTGGAATCCCATCCCTCCATTCCCTCCTCTTTCTTTTTGTGTGTTTGTGTGTGAATGTTATATACCACAGCCACAGCATTTAAATGTCCTATTTCCTCAGGCTGGCAGTTCATGCCTGTCCAATCAAGGTTAGAATTAGGGTTAGGGTGGGGACTAGGGCTCTAAGTGAGCATTTGCAGATTGAGTGTCATCACCCCATGAGGTTTTGGATTGGAGGTATAAAACTTGTTGCAACCAATCCACTGTCTTCAGTCCAGAGAAAGATTACACGTTTACAATGCTTATACAACTGTATTACTTCTCCAAGTGCTGAAACCTAAGGCTTTCATTACAAAGGTGTATTTACACGTCAAATATTTACTGATTTTCTTTCTCACCTACGAACAATTACCTACCTGGAGGGGAAGAGGGGCCCTTACTATAACCAAAGCTGTGACAGGCATGCCATTGCAACACCCATCAGAGATGTTTTATTGTTAATATGTCACCCGAGATGTGGAGACATATTATTATAACCCACTTAGATATGGGAGGACCATTTTCTGCTTCTCCTCGGAGCTATCAGTAACATTCACGTGGTAATTCTTTCACATCGATAAGAAGATACCTGTTTGTCTGCTTTTTCCTGCTTTCTATTCATGCTGGTATACAAGGAAGCTACCTGATGTCATAATCTCAAACAAATGAAACAGCAGAGGCAAACTCTAACTGTGAGTGGGCATAACACAAATAGAGAAGAGTGGACACGCACAGTAAGAAAAACCCTAATTTATTACAATTCTTTATTCTACCATGTAGTCTTCTATTTCAACTTGTAAAGTAACAAAACAAAAAACATCACAGCACAAAAATTACACAATGGTGTCACACTCTCTCCTTTAATGCATTTATTGACACTGAGTCATTGCCATAGTCATAAACATTGGTGGAGTGTTTAAAAGGTGTTGCAGTCGCCCTGATGTACAAATCACATCTGTTGTCAAGCCTTTAAAAAGTTTAACGTTTCCTAAAATGTAATTTAAAAAAAAAAAGCATATATATGCACTTTACAGCTGAGTACATATGTTCCATATACTGAGTGATATATTTTAGCTGAAACACAAGGCACTTACTGGGGCACCTTTGAAATACTGATCAGGATGTGCAAACAGGAATACAAGATCAACACAGATACTGGCCATGTGTGGCCATCGTCAAACGCTTCCCCTTCACTGCCTCTGGACAGACTGCTTTTTTTTCTGTTCCTACTTATGCCATGTCTCAACATTTGTTCAAAGCAAATGTGTAATTATTATTGCCATATACACACCTTTGTCTACCCACAAGAATTATTCCTTCAGGCAGGGCTGATCCTGTTTAGACCATTGTCTTGAAACGATTAGTACAACAAACACTAAACTAATATAATCTGCGAGTGAAGGAGCTCTGACCTTCACTTGTGTCAATATGTTTGTTTTTCGTTTTTTTTTTTTTTAGTTCGTTCTTCTTGCGATTAGAAAAATCACATGGTCAACATAGCTTTGTGTTGAAAATAATCTGTCACACGTCATTGTGTTCTAAGTCTGAGTCAAGGTTTTACTGTTAGCTAAAATAAACAGCAGTGGAGATATGAGAGCAACACTGAGCACTTTTCTATGTGCAAATTAGTGCGATAACTGCTGACATTGTCCTGTGTAGTGTGAGACCTCTTGTGATTTAGCATTTTTAAATCAATATTTTTGGGGGTTGGAGGCAAGGCAATTATTCTGTTTGCTTTTGGCTTGGAAATTAAGCAGGTGAGGGGATATACCAGGACTACATATTGCACGTAGCAACTGGTGTACCAAACTGAAACCATAGAAACCTTTACATGATCAGACCGAGTCAAAGATTTTGATTTCAAACTGACTTAAGTACAATCTATAAGAAGACTGCTGTGCAAAATCTTTTCCATAAACACATAATTTCCTCTTCATATGCATAAATATTGTGTAAACAGCTTTGCTCAAATAAAATCAACTGTATCAAGGGTAGCTCTGTATTGTATGTTTTAATATTACATAATTGTGTGTGTTTTGGTGTGTGGACTGTACTTCCTATTGCTCCCCACATCCTTGTTTCCTCACATCTTTATTGTTGAGGAAACAATCTGAGTCGATGGAAGCACTCTGTGGGGGTTGTCGAGCTTAAAAACTACACAAGGCCGGGGTGCCAGCTGTTTTTCCTTAGCAGCTTTGGTAAATTTAATCCACGAGCTTGCCTGTGGAAAAATCCTTTAGGAAATCAAGCTGTAGATGAAATTAAAAAGATGGGTTTATGAAGGCTCAGTTCACCCAGATTACACATATTCCCTAACTTCTGTTATTTAGCTGTGCAGCGATGTGGTTTTGTTTCTCTTTGGAGTAAACATTTCCTAGTGGGTTTATGATCTCAGGCCCCAGTTTCAAGTCTCACCATGATATTAACTTGGTAAACTGTGGTTTCATTTAGAGTAAAACAGACTATGAAGGTGGGTATACGTGATGGCTGGGCAATCACAATGTTTTCCCTGGTCATTACTGTATGAGTCACTATTATATGGACTTACTTTTTGACCTTTGGTTCTCTTACTCATCATCTGGGGTTTTAAAACCAGAGACCAGTTAAAGCAAACAAATTTTAAATGCCCGAGACCTTTTATCAAGCCTACTAATAACTACAAACAGCTATAGTGGTTGAGGAAATTATCCAAACAACATTGCTATCCTTAGGAGTATTTCAACAGGAGAAACTGTTTGCACTGATGATTTAATATTACCCAGATAACAACTAGAGCTATAGAGATACTCAGTAGGTATCTCAGGTCAATGTGAAAAAAATATATAAAGTGGATCTGCATGCTACGATTAAGGATCTGGCTTTTTTTCTTTTCTTTGCAATATGGATGAACTGACCTTTTCAAAGTTAAGACAGCTAAATGCATGTATGGTGTAAAAAATAACTGTTATGCAGTACAAAAAGGCCCTGCTGGAGTTTTGCTCATTACAAGAACACTGTACTCAAGTCTGTCTTTAGTTATTATTGGTTGGAATGGCTGAACTGTTGCATGGCTCTAACTGTGGAAGGGATTTTTATAACCTTATACACCCACAAAAGCTTTCCACAGTCATATGCACTGCATTATGTTAGTAAAACCAATAAGGTTTCATGCCCGGGTATTAAATACTAGTGTTTTGTCAGGAGCCACCAGCTTCACAGAGATCTACACCTTTGGTTTAACTCCTTAATACAACATAAATGAGGAAGTAAAGGTCCTGTTTTAAAGAGCAACAATATATCAACAAAAGGAAGTGATGCAGGCATACACTGAGGGACTGTAGATAGAATTATCTGAATTTTCCATGATATGCCAACATAAAGACATTTCAGTGTATCTTAATGTGGCACCAAAGTATCCAGAGCGAGTCACACATGTTATGTACTTTTTTTAAACTATTACACTAATACATTTTAACGCCCAAACCAAAGAATATCTTGCACGTATCCCTGTGAGATGCCAGTGATTTCTGATAAAATGTTAGTATGATAATGATGATGGCAGGCTGGAAAAACACAAAGTCAAACTCTCTGGTTCTCTGAGTTGCTGACAGTTCATCTTAACTAACAACAGCTGGTTTGAGGAGTAGCGCCCTTGATGGAACCACCACCCAAGACAAAGCGTCACTTTGTCTCGCCCCAACCCCTGCAGAGAGGTTCAGCACTTCCCCGTCCTCTCCTTCCTCTGATTCCTCCCCGTCCTCTGGCTCCCTTCTTACCACCTGCCCCAGACCTCCCAAAGCCCCCAACCCAAACATAGACGCAGCTGAAAGTCCAAAGCGCAACAGTGGGGAGTCTGAAAGGCTGAGCGATCCCATGCTTCCTCCTCCACCCATGGAAAAGAGCGGTGCCCGGTGGTGGCCTAGAGCTCTGGCATGGCAGAAAGCAGAGAGTGGCAAGGATGTCCCAAGGCCCCCAAGAAGGGCTGCAGCAGCCCCAGGGATGATGACAGGAGTCCCGCCTACAGAGGGCTGTTCAGTGGCACTCTGGTGGGTAGGAAGGCCCAGCCCTGTCCCTGACCTACTTGAACTCCCCGGCTCTTGGGCAACAAAGTGCCCATGAGCCTTGATGTGCTTGCGTAGGGAGCTGGGGTCTGTGTAGCGCTTCAGGCAGCCTGCCATCTTGCAGTAGTAAGGCTTGTCCACATAGTGGGTGCGAGTGTGCTTGAAGCGGTCACTAGAGTTGGAGTAGCGCTTGCTGCAGCCTTCATAGGGGCAGATGTAAGGCTTTTCCCCTGGAAGAAAAGAGAAACAAACAAATATGAGTCAGAGACAGAAGGACAAAGGAAGGAGAAATGGAGGGGAAAGAAATGATTTGATTTGAGAACAATGCCAGAGAAGGATGTTGTCAGTTTGTTTCTAACTCTTGAGATTCATGGTGTGTCATTGCTCAACAAGGAAAGGAACAAAGAAGAAAGTGTTATTCCGATGTGACACTTTTTAAAAGAACAAAATAAAATACTGCATGAGAACAAAAGATATAAAATACTTTATTTTTAATGGTCAATGGTCGCCATTGACCATGGTCGCCTTAATGGTCGCCTTTTGTAATAGCCTCACTGGGACATTCCTTTTTTTTCAAAAGGTTTAATTTGCTCCTTCTTTACATTATTAGAGTAAAGTCTGTCATTTATGACAGAAGTGATAGCAGAGTTGTACGTTTTAATTTTTCAGAAATCACTCAGTCAGAACATGCTATATTATTTAGTCTTAAAATATTTTTGGAAACTTCCCGTGTACCACTAGAGGGAGCCCACGTACCACCAGTGGTATGCATACCACAGTTTGAGAATGACTGGTTCAAGTCATTGCTGGTTTTGATGGGACTGAACTCACCTGTGTGCGAGCGAGTGTGTATCTTCAGGTTCTCCAGACGTGAGAAGCTCTTGTTACAGGTGGGACAATGGTGTGGCTTCTCATTGGTGTGTGTGCGGATATGAATCAGCATTTTATACCTAGAAATCATAACAAATAAGACACACATTTACAATCAAGATCAAGCCGTTTTTATTTTTTTCAGCATTTTTACCTAGGATGTGGCTGCTGATATTCAAATGTGTCTTATCTTGGAAGCCTGACATATGATGCTTACATTTATTAGTTTCAGATGTAGCCATTCTTGTATTTTGCTTGTTTACATTATTGTATTTGCACAACTCTGTTGCTTGTGAAGCTCGCACACAAGAATTTCACTCACATGTACTGTACCAATGTACCTGCACATGTGATGTGACAATAAAAGTGATTTGATTTTGACATTATATTGAAAAGATCATGACTCGCTCTGATGACCTGTCACACTGGATTCAAAGCTACTATTGCTAGCATGTTTTCATTTCTTTGTTTCTTAAGGCAGCCAACCTTTTTTGCACCACGGACCAGTTTATGTCCAACAATATTTTCACAGATTGGCTTTAATGTGTCGGATAAATACAACAAAATAAAATCAGTACTGGTACCAAAAAAAGAAGATTTATTCATGATATACGGGAAAAGACCCAGGGAAACCGAGTTAACAATAAAAATGATCAAAATTAAAACAACGCTAAAAACCAATAAAAACCCTGAGAACCATAAATTTCACACCCAAGCCTCAACTGTCGCGGCCCGGTACCAAGTGACTCGCAGATCCGCTCCATGGCCCAGGGGTTGGGGACCGCTGTCTTAAGGTATTACTTAGGAAATTACATTGCTTTTAACACCTGTTGCTTAGAGACTGGTATAATTTTTATGAGAAATATGCTTTGTGTCATCCTCACAACAATAGAATAAAGCCACAGAATACCTTGCATTGAAGCCCCTCCCATTTCGAGCACAGCCTTCCCATTGGCAGCAGTATCCAGAATCCTTTTCAGGCTTGACATGGAAGTCGTTGATGTGATCCACCAGGTCCTGCAGTGAATCGAACAGCAGGTGGCACTGAAGGGCAAAAGTGGGAATGAAGCACATGGCTGATAAGAAACCTGATTGTGACCTTTTTAGGAAACTTTCACACAAACAGTTGATGTTTTTTTCTTCTTATGTCACTCTTTCTTTTTAATTGAAAATGTTTGAACAGTATACCATTAAAAGCAACCTTTGTCAAAGTATCTACAGTTCCACAGTTCAGTACAGTAGGTGTGTCAGAGTGTGGCTGGAAGCTGCTCGCGTGGGTGCCAAGCCGGGAAAAAACGACAAAGAGACTGTCAGTAGTGTGTGTGATGGCAATAAAAGGAAAATAAACCCATACAGTGTGTCCATTTGTGGTCCTTCTTCACAGCAATAGTATTTTCTATAAATTTGTATATTTTAAACATTTATTTTAAAAAGTTTCTATTGCACATAAAATCAGGTAGCATGACAGATGTTTTGTCTAATTAAATTAATGTAATGTAGGAGTAGGTCGTGGATAATAGGCATTGATTTGTAAATAACTGGACATAAACTTGAGCTTATTATATAATATTATACGAGAGTATCTTTCTAACTAAATAGGCAGCTTGTTATCTTTTGCTTGAGGTCATATCAAGAGATATAAAACGTTCTGGGGTCTACTTGAAGGAAAGGCAGATGCAAAATTTAAAGTGAGGTCAGAGGTCAAATGTGACATGTGTCAAACTATAATAACATGATACAGGCACGTAAGCAAACACTATCAAAAACATAACTTTGGCAGAGTCAACTGCAGTTTAAATGACAGGTAATAAGTATGTGTAAGTATAAAAAGATCATTTCATAGCTCGGATAAAGCCATCATAAAAACATAATGTTATTGATGGGTAACTCTAAATCTTTAAAAGAGTTTTTCCTGTGGATTCACAACAGTCACAAACCCCATGAATGTGTGACACAAGCTTTAAGTGTGCAAGCTGATCATCACAAAAAATTCTTCTTCTTTGCTTCATATTTATGGTTCATCCCATCTTCAAACTTAGTCTTAGTACACAACTATACTTTCTGTGACTTTGATGGCTCTGTGTGCAGTATGAATGTGAGTATTAATGGGTAACTGTGGCTTGAAGTGTAAGAGAGCTATAAAAAAACAGGTGAAAACACTCTGAGGAACACTGCTGCTGCTAGCAAAAAGGGAGATTCTGGCTATTATTAGCCTGACGTGATGATCTGTAGTTACTGTATGTAATAAATTTAAGTGTGACGTACTGAAGAGCATGTTCATTAATCATAGCATCCGTTGTTCTGATATATGAGTTACGTTTTGTACAGTTTACCTAATCAAGGTACTTCATTGTTTTTCATTCATTTTTTATACATAATTATTAATCCTTTAGTTCTTAAAACACCAGAATATAATATAGGAAATGGTTGATTTTGACCTTTTAATTCACCCAACTATATTTTTTTAAAAACACAAAGTTTATCTATTTAAAATTATGCAAATAGATGAAAAAGTAAATCACTTTTCACACCAAACTGGTTAATTTGTTATTGCTAGATCACACCGCACACCACACTCATTTTTTTATACTGTAACCTCTGATAGCATTTATCCCCGCTGACCTCTTTTTCTGTGACTCTCAGCTTTATATATTTTGTTTTCAGTGCCACTTAGTGGTCAGAGTGATGTTTGCAGGCTCTTTTTCACCCTCATTGAAGAAACTGCTTGTGCCTGCTATTAAGTGTAGGGTTTGAAGCGCGACACATGATTAATAATATTATCTGCCAAAATAATATGACTCAAGCTTCTGCTAAAATGCATGCAATAAACATATAACTAATATATAAGTATAACTAAACCTACAATATTTAATTACACGCACCTTCATCCAACGACAGGCCAACTGAGCATCCATGGAGGGTTCCGGAGAAACCGGCTTCTCTCTAGTCTGACTGATGAACATGGAAGAGGGAAAGCTGTAGCTTCTTGGTGGACTTCTAACTGGGACATAAAATGGATAGCCCTGTGGTGAAGCACCAGGTTCCACACCTCGGTGAAAAGGTGATTCCTAAAGCAGAGGAGGATAGAGAGAGGTCAGAGCAAGAGAATTTTGTGGCAACAAAGGCAAGATGTTCATTAGCTATTCACAAGAAAAGAAAAATAATTCATTTACTTCACCGTTAACGATGAAGAAAGAAGCTGACCTAACACTAAAGCCTGCCACTTTGAGCTTGATCATTAGAAAGATACAACTATCAGAGGAAATGGAGGAAGGTTGTGAAACAATAATGTACTCCTTCTGATCGTGTTTACTTCAAGTGTGTTAAAGTATGATTTAAGAGCTTTTGCATCCATGACATGTATGTTTATTAAATGGGGATTGAAGGTCTACATTTGTTTTTTGATTTATAATTAGAATACACTTCAGCAAATCCAGTGATGACAATGAAAAGGGGCTTGATAATGTAAAAATGAGGACTTTCTCTGCTAAATGATTGATCTGGTCCAAGAAGGGAGATTTTGTGCCGTAACTAAAGGAGTTGTGTGTTTGATGTTTTCACCATTAAAGCACAGCTAAAATTTGATTTAGACAGAATCACTGCGTGGCTGTGGGCTGTGTGCAGATGCTGCACCGGCAAATTAGATTCACTCCCTGGATCACTTCTCTATTCAGTCCTGCTGAAGAAAAATGGAGCGCATTCAGCCACGATTAGTCACCGGTGTGAGAATTCTAAGATTGTGGTCATGCCTGTTCAGAAGATTAAGTGATTACATGAATACATACACGTACCTGGAGTGTGTACTTGTAAAACATTTTTATTATTCTTTTTATTCTTGCAATCCTCTTTAAAATGAGTGCAACACACATGTGTTTGTAATGAACCCCGCTCAGGTTAGGGGAATGTAACATTCCTGGGTTTTTCAAAAGTTGGACAAACATTAAAGGAACTGTTTTAGAAACATGCTCATATGCGTTCATGCTGAGAGACAGATGTGACTCACATGTGTACTGTGAAGGTAACACTTCAGCCAGCAGCCAGTTAGCTTGTAAAATATTCATTTGTGAGCTGTACAGGTGCTAGTAGTCCCAAAAACCGCTGTTCTATTAATGTCCTCTTGGGTTCCGCTCCCATTTGTAAAATGCCAAAATCCAGCTGTAACAACTACATCTCTGTACAAAAAAAATTATATTCACGTTCACAACAGCTTCACAGTTGGTGATCTTTTTTTATATCTCATCCATCTTGATACTTTTAAGACATCAATTCAGGGGCATGTGCATTTTAATCCGACCAGTGTGCTGACACAGGGAAATGATTACCATTTCCTAGGCCTCACTTCTGCTTATCTGAGATCTTAAACAATCACATGACCTTCTATGAGTAAGCATTTTGTCAACAGTGGAAAGAAAAATCTCCCTTTTAACAGGAAGAAACCTTCAGCAGAACCAAGCTCAGGGAGGAGCGACCATCTGCTGCGACTGGTTGGAGTGAGCAAAATAGCACAGGACAAAAGATGTGATGTGAAAGGGAGCCAGAGATTAATAACAACTGTGATTCAATGCAGAGAGGTCTATGAACATAGTGAGAGAGAAAGGTGGTTGAAGAAGAAATACTCAGTGCATCATGCAAATCCCCCAGCAGTCTACACCTATTGCAGCATAACCAAGAGAGGATTCAGGGTCGCCTGATCCAGCCCTAACTAAATGCTAAGGACAGTTTTAAGCTTAATCTTAAAAGTAGAGATAGTGTCTGTTTCCTGAAGCCAAACTGGAAGCTGGTGCCATAGAAGAGGGGCCTGAGAACTGAAGGCTCTGCCTCCCATTCTACTTTTAAATACTCTAGGAACAACAAGTAAGCCTGCAGTGCGAGAGTGAAGTGCTCTAATACGGTGATACTACAAGGTCATTAAGATAAGATGGGGCCTGATTATTTTAGATCTTGTATGTGAAGAGCAGGATTTTTGATATCTCAAATCAAGATCAACAAGGTCAACAAAATTCGAAGCAGAGGTTTGGCAATACAAATGTGCAACATAGAAGATGTCATTTTTTTCTCCCGTTAATTTTTAAACAAACTAAAATGCTATCCACACAATCCTAGCGAGCGCTATCTAGACTCGCAAATTGACATGCAGTTTTTGACAACAATCATTTTTCAAGCTTGATACACTGCTCACAAATTGCTGTTATAAAAATGGGTCTTAATACAAGGTATTGATTCGGTCTGATGCTTTGCATGCTAAGTATACTGCACCCAGCCACTCAATTCAAATCTTTTTAATCCCCATGTCCTCTCTGGAATGTCACAAGAGATTGAAGTCATTACCAAGTCAACTGATGAAACAAGCAAAACACAACTTTCATGTTTGCACACTAATTGCAAAGTGCAGCAACGCAAGGAGCGGTAGCATTAGTGCACTCCAGCAAACACATGGACTCACCCGAGAGAAGAGGTGTGGCTGAGGGCTGCTGCTGCTCTGAGGGGACTCCATGGGAGAGGATGGAGAGAGGGAGGATGGCGAGGAAGGGGATGGGGAGAGAGAAGAGGCATGGCGCAAGGAGGGGGACAGGCTGAGGTCCATGGCTGGAGGGGTGAAGCAGGACCCAGGTCGTTCTTGAGAGGAAGACAGGGAATCTAGATTAGAGATTAGAGATAAAGCAGGATCCTTATTACACCCATCGCAGTATCATGATTCATTGATTTCTTGCTTTGCTGAGGTCATTTCACAAAATGTCCCTGTAATTTTACCAACGCGTTATTGTTTGCAGGTAATGCCACGGTCTTAGCAACACCCCTGCTCACTCTTTTTAAATATGTTTCAAAATATTTTAAATATACCTTTTCAATTTCATTGAGGCATGTAGAACATTTCTATAATCCTCTGACTTATTTTGTTCTTTCTTCTTCTTAGATTTTATAACAATCACAATAAAAGTAATAAATAAATGATGAGGCACTTTTCAAAACACGAAGAAAGTCGCATAAAAAATTGCACAAAGCGACTCCCAGGCCATCTCATTTTGTTATTATCGCAGCTATCTGAAACAATCACACAGAACTCATTAATGTAAGTGCACGGTGCTTCATCCATACTGGACACACAATAGCTACTAGCCCTTTGTTTGTCATCAGTAGTTAAAGCAAGCCATTTATCAGTTTGAAGGTTGGTGGATCAATTCCCAGTCTACCCCAGACTGCGTGTGAAGTCATCATTGGGCAGGATACTGAAACTCAAGTTGCCCCCAATCCATCCTTCAGAGTCTGAGTGTATGTGCAAATGTTAGACAAGGCACTTGGGTATGGATGTGTGCATAACTGGGTGAATGAGACTTTTAATAACAAGAGCTTCCATAAACATGGAAGGGATGACCTTGGCATTGTTCATTAGTTCAGTCACGCCATCCATTGTGAATGATGGATTAGGTCCTCTTTATATGGTGATATATGGACTATTTATTATTATTTATATGGGCTTAAGTTTTTCCTTGTGTGAAGCTCAAAATCTCTTCTCTCTGTCCCAGGTTCACCACTCACCCCAGCTTCAGCTGTCTGCCTGCACCCTCTACTCTCAGCCCGTCCTACCTGCCTAGCTCTCCAGAAACCTTCCTAAAACTATATTTGCAAACCAACCAACTAAATTTGTTGTAATCTCAGTTTCTATTTTCTGCCCATGTGTCCTTTAATCAATAGCAACAGCAGTGTTTCTGTGTTAAACAGAGACGGAAGCACACAACGCAGTAATGCTGAGCACAAAAGCTGACACAAGAATGAAGACACAAAGTCCATTGTGTTTGTGAATGTCACAGAGGTGCTGTATTTTTTTTAGGTCACTTCATATCAGTGTCACACTCCTCTTGTTATGAGCTGCACTGACAAAAATGGGGACAATCTTCTCGAGGACACAAATGAGCTACTGTTCACTGGGTTTGCAATAATAGGTTACCAGGAAAGTGAGGACAGAGAATCAACCTATTACGCTATTGCATTACCACAGTGATAAACTTAATTACTGCGCCATGATAATATCAAAGTCATGTCATGTGTGTATTTAGGAGAGTAGAAATGATGGAGAATTTATTTCGGTGATGCTAAAACTGCCAGATGTTTACCAGGTTAACTCGTACCTGGAGAAGAAGGAGGCGATGGAAAAGTTGTGCACTGTAGCCGCAGTCGTTTGATGCTGATGTGGGCACAAATAGAGGACGGGCAGCTCCTCTTTCCCAGTATCCCTGGACCGTCTGTGCGACCTGAGGGAAGCTTCAAGTCCAGTGGCTCATCCACAGACAACATGGCCGCCGATTATTGTTGCCCACCTAGCAACAGACAAACAAGTTAACAAACAAAGTGTCTTTATTTCAGTAAAGAGCAATGAAAGCAAATTTATTATTAGGACTTGCTTACTAATGTGTTTTTTTTAATAACCTCCTGGAATAAATCTGTACAGTAAAAGGTACATTTCTTTTCCCTTTTCTCTCTCTCACACTCAGGGATACTGAGTCTGTTGTGGGTGCTAACCACAACTCCCCACACTCTGAAATGACTCTGACTCATCTGGGAAAGAAATACCTGGGACCCACAAATCAAAACAATCTCATTTACACGCAGGGAGACATTTCTTTCACACCACCGTGCTAACGGACGACTATATAACAGGTTATTAAACAAAAAAATAATTTTGCATATCTTACAGCTACAGATGAGTTAAAAGATACGATTAATTCAATTAATTCACTCAATAAAGTGAGTTGTATGACTAAAATCATCTGTTTTTCTTGATCCAGGTTCTTAGGCTCTCGAGATTCAACATTCACACAAATAGTACAGAGTTACACATCTTTCTTCATGGGATATCCGCTGGTGTATCATCAGCTATCATTCCCCTCTTAGAATTTGGATAACAATATTCCTCTCTTTAGTAGTAGAGCATCCACATTTAGACTTCCAGATGCAATGAGAAATAATTCTGCAATAATCCCAAATAAATTCTAAAATGACAGTCACAAAACTGTTACAAAAAGCTACTTAATATCCCACAAACTGAAGTAATAGTAACAGTTAGTCTAGATGACACTTCACTAAATTGTGAATATTCGTTAATTAACATACTACCTACAAATGTTAGTTGTTCTAGGTCATGTATTCTGTAATAAGGCAATTTGAAAATAGCAGGGCTTAGTCCTTTGTTGTCAATTTTCGTTGTAGCTCAGTTCCCGGGGGGAAATCATAATGATGTGGGCCTGTTACTTTGATCCTCTGCATTTCTGTGGTGAACACTCGAGGGCCTAAACTAGACTTTTCAGTAGTTTTCCACTTCTGATGGTATGATACTGTGGGTGAAGCATGCGACAAAAGTTATCCCAGCCAACGACTAAACTCATGGGTTCTTGTTAGACTAAATGACTCAAGACCCAGATATGTGCTGCAAAGAAAAAAAATCTCCCAGCAGAAAACCAAAGAGGGGAAATTCTTGGACCAAACCCGCAGTGAAATGCTTGACAGCTGCCGGGAAAGTCAACGCAATACACGACATTTTTGCACCTGAGAATTCCACAGCTGTTATTCACTCCGTGTCAGTGGGAGTGTGTACGCGATGTCAAAAAAAGCTCATCTAATGTTGAATTTCATTTGGTATTATATATAGGGTGGGCCATTTATATGGATACACCGTAATAACATGGGAATGGTTGGTGATATTAAAGTGCTGTTTGTGGCACATTAGTATATGTGAGGGGGCAAACTCCTCAACATGGGTGGTGACCATGGTGGCCATTTAGAAGTCGGCCATCTTGGATACAACTTTTGTTTTTTCAATAGGAAGAGGGCCATGTGACACATCAAACGTATTGGTAATGTCACAAGAAAAACAATGGTGTGCTTGGTTTCAACGTAACTTTATTCTTTCATGAGTTCATGAGGTTTATCTACTCTATGTTATACATACATAACTATAACATAGATATACACTCAACAGTCATAGCATTATGACCACCTGCCTAATATTGTGCTGGTCCCCTTTTGCTCCAAACGTCGAGTCATGGACTCCACTAGACCTCTGAAGGTGTGCTGTGGTATGTGACACCAAGATGTTAGCAACATATACTTTAAGTCCTGTAAATTGCAAGGTGGGGCCTCCACGGCTCAGACTTGCTCGTCCAGCACATCCCAATGATGCTTGATTTAATTGAGATCTGGGGAATTTGGAGGCCAAGTCAAAACCTTAGACTCATCGTTGTGCTCCTAAAATCATTCCTGAACTATCTTTGCTCCAGCATTATTCTGCTGAAAGAGGCCACAGTCATCAGGGAATACCATTTCCATGAAAGCGTGTACATGGTCTGTAATGGTTAAGTAGGTGGTACGTGTCAACAGAACATCTACATGGATGGTTGGACCCGAGGTTTACCAGCAACATTGCTCGTAGCAACACACTGCCTCCACCAGCTTGCCTTCTTTCCATAGTGCATCAAGTTGCCAGGTGTTTCCTCATTCAAAACTTTGATATATATGTTGCTAATTGGAAGTTTACTTTAAAGAAAAGAAAAGAAAAAAGACCGAACCAGGCTTAACTGTTAGCCCTTGCGTTTAATTGCAACCCTAGCATACAGACAAGACAATGGTAAAATAAAAATATTTCCCCATCCTACAAAAAAGACAGTTTGAAAACATTTCCACTTTGCAGAGTTCACTTAAAATCTTACACCCACAGTGCAGAAATGTTTGCAGGTATCCGTTTCAAAGACAACAGTATTTAAACTGCATTTAGTCAGTGTTTGCCTCCAGTGGAACTACTAACTGGCGCCAGACGTGGGTTGTAAGTGCATTTTGTGACACAACTGCAAAAGCTCCACAGTGTGTCTCACCATATGACTCTTTAATGATAGCTGGCAGCAAGAGCATTCTTAATTTACTTTCACCGGCTGGATTAAACCTTCCAGCTACATGTACACCTCCTTAACTTCTAAACTTGCTGTCGCCGCAAATTCTTCCACAATCACCGACACAATCCCCCGACATAATATAAGGCAGAGGCTAAACCACAATGAAGTCAGTGTTTAGGTCCTCCTGTCGGCTTGCCAGCTACCTCACCACACTAAGTTTCACATTCCACAGCAACCTTGTTGACTTCTCTCTCTCACACGCACACAGCTATTTGGAGGTACTGTAACAGCACGCACACTCAGGACCATATGTCACACCAGTAGACATGTGTATGGCTCATAACCACACATGAGCCCCCAACCTCCCAACGGGTCCACCCCCTTTTTTCCCCTCAGTGACCTGCGTTTGGGCAGCACGCCCAGATCCACTTATGGATCCTCCACTGCCTACAAAAACACATAGTTTGACTATTTGCAGACTTACAGTCAAGCATATGTACATACTTGTGCACTAGTGCATGCACTCACTGTCCTATACAGTATAGTACATACTGTAAATATATGTAAGGAGCAGCAGTAAGGAGATGGTCTTTCCATACTGTCCCTCACTGAAAGATGGCACCACTCTACACAGCAAAATCTCCAGTGTTAAATTAACACTGGAGAGTGTCTATATGGGTCCACACCTCTGAGTGTTAAATTAACACTTTTGACAGTGTTATATGTTTAAAAGTAGTCAGTTTTGAAGATTAACAATGGCTAACACTGAGCAGTGCTGATTTTCTAACACTGGAATATTTCTAACATTTTGAGTTATTTTCCAGTGTTAGAACATCAGCACTGCTCAGTGTTAGTCTTTGTTAATCTTCAAAACTGACTAGGCTACTTTTAAACATATAACGCCGTCAAAAGTGTTAATTTAACACTCAACAGTGTTGTATTTGACACTCAGAGGTGTGGACCCATATAGACACTCTCTAGTGTTAATTTAACACCGGAGATTTTGCTGTGTACCTCAAACCTTCAACAACAAAGTTATGCTTAAAGCCAACCTACATTAAACCCATTTGTTTGAAATCCAAAACACCTCATAAGTCAGGAGCGTCCTCACACAGTGGTTAGATATGCCTGTCAGAACCCCATAATTCTTACAAGGGAGGCAAGCTGACAAACACGCATACACACAAAGTGCATTGCTTACACATTTTTTGCATGGAAATACGTACTGGTTTACACTCAGACTGGATTGCTGATGCTGTGTGTATTCTCAGCACGAGAAATCGTTATTAGACTCATCCAAATCCCACTTTGACTATTCGATTATATATGAAGCAAAGCAGACACACACATACCGGTATGCTCACACAGTTTATCCCCTCCCCTCAGGTGTAACACACCCACACATGAGAGTTTGTCCTCCTCTCACAGGAAACATTTGCTTCCACGGTGCCCCGATGTGGCCTCTCCCTCTCTCTTATTTTTTTATTTTTCCTCCCCTGTCTCTCTCTCTCGTGCGCTCGCTTTACTTCCCTCCCTCTCACTCCTTCCTGCGGTTTTCCTCTCCCAGTCCTCCAGCGGAGCATACCTCTCCTGTTCTCTGTACCTCCCACTCCTTTTTCTTTTCTCCTACTTTTTCTTCTCCAGTGCATTTTTGAGCTCCCTTCTTTTATTTCTCCCCAGTTTCACGACTTGTTTTTATTCCTGTTCTGTCCTTCAAATCGAACAAGATACAATGACATGAAATGACAGTGTTAATAACTGAGAAGATAGACTGTAAAGCTTTGGATCAGGCATGGACTTCACAGTCTTGAAGTAAAAACCTTTTTCAGTGTAGGTATTCAATGATTGTTTTTTTTATGTTTTACTCTAGACCTATGCTTGTTCCACGTGTGAAAAACTAGCTGTCAGGATGAGGAGGAATCAGGTTCAACAAGGCAGCAGACAGAGAAAGAGATTTAAGCCAGTCCATCACTCCAAGAACAACGTCAGGCCTGACTTCTAAGGTTTATATATTCTTTGATCTTCCACTCAGTGTCCTTATAAGGTATTATGCAAGACCGCCGCAACAGTGAGGATGATAGGAGGCTTTGTTTTTGTGACGTGGAGGCATACAGAGACAAAAAGAAAAGAGGCCAAGGTGCCCTCGTGAGAAATGAAATTGGACACCTGTTTGAACAGCAGTGGACAAAAAAACAAAACAACTGGTTTGCATTAGGGAGAAAAAAAGGGTTTCTAAGGACATAGAAAGGTTGTTGAGAAGCATGGAGGAAGCAGCGGGGGGTTCCTCTTACCACACACTCTGTGGTGAGTTGGAGGTAAACAAGTTCTTGGAGGCAAGTTTGTTTTTCTTTTAAAGAAAGAGGACAAACACGAGTTTTTCTTTTCTCATGGAAGTCCAAGTGTTGCACAATATGTTTTTCGAGGGCCGGAGAGAC